CCCCGTACACACACACAACTGGTAGAAGCAAAAAAACTTGTCATACTTTGGGTAATAATTTGATGCCTCCTGGCTGTTAACTTAAAAAAACTATGTCCCCACCAGGAAAGCAAAGCAGCCACAAGTGGTCTAATTTTATCCCTTTTCCACTGCTTACCTGAGACCCTCCGCTCCCAGTTTATTCCTCACAGAAAGCTTGGGACCAGGAGGCATGGACTCCGCACGTGCCCACTTTCCTAAGGTCCTCAATTGTCCTCTATTTTAGTCTTATCAACCTCTGGATGCCATAGAGACCCTTAGCTTCCCCAAAGAGCAGCAGATCTCCACCTCCCACGTCCCACTGTGCTGTGCTCTAGGGATAAACTGTTTGGGCTTTTCTTGGACACGATGAGGAAATGGGAACCCTTAAGTTCACACTTCTAATGAATGCACATTCATGCGTATCAAGCATCTGGGACAGGAAAGGTCAATAGTAGAGGCATAGGCAGAGGCTCCCTCAGTGAATCTGCAATCCCCATTCTCACTCCCACCAGGACATTGACAGGAAGCAGACTATCTCTGTACTCTGATAAGAAGACACCTCAAGTTCCTTAAAAATGACTGTGGTTAGGGCAGAAGAGAAGTCCCCATTTACTAAGGTAAAATGATTAAGTTGACAAGTGAGATAAAATAATGGACACAAGCTCTCTGTGCTACACTTAAACCAATCCCTAGGTGAGATGAAATGTTTGGGAAATACGTGCTCTAGCTCTCTAACTTAAGTGACCACAGTCTAGAGCCAGATGCGGCATAGGCATCCGCGAAAGAACCACAGCCAAGTCCCCCTTGTGGGCCTCCAGCGGAGAACTGTTTTCTCACCCTTCTCTGCATCATGCCCCACAACTGAATTCTCACGTTAGAAACCATATAGCTTTTATTTATTATTTTTTAATGAAGAAAGGTGACTCTGAAAGTCTCTCAGACAGCAGGCCAAGTTTACACTGTGCTATAAGAAACCTGCTAAGCATCACTCTGCAGGTGCGGATGCCTGGACGCGGCGTGCGGGTCTGCAGCTGGCCGGCACACACCTGCACCGCTGTGACTCTGAAAGTCTCTCAGACCGCAGGCCAAGTTTACACTGTGCTATACGAAACCTGCTAAGCATTACTCTGCAGGTGCGGATGCCCGGACGGGGGTGTGCGGGTCTGCAGCTGGCCGGCACACACCTGCACCGCGGCTCCGGGCTGCAGCACAGATTTAGCCCGAGTCTCCGCACGGAAAGTGCTATTGCAAATGCAGTGGTTTGGGAAAGGCGCAAAGGAAAACATGCCCTCTCGGCTGAGGTCCATCACAGAAGTGCCCGGGTCTGCCCTAGAGTGACTTCTAGGAAGTTAAACAGCTAAACAGCATCACTCCTGACACTTGCCTTAGAGCAGTGGTTCTCAACC